TGCAGCTCAAATTGCAGTACAAAATGGCTTCAAGCGCTCGTTAAAAGTCACGCAGCACGCAGAGGAAAAGCCGGCCGGGGAAAATGTTTCAAAATTTATGCGTATGAAAACAGAAATTATATTAATTACAACAGTGGCGGGGGTAGAAGAGGGGGCAACATTAAATTGCAGCTGCGACGGAAACAACGAAAACATCGTCGCCAAGGGGTTAAACAACACTTGACATTTGTGCCCCCCAACCACCCACTGAGCGCATAAAAATTGCATAAAATTTGCATGTCAAAAGTGCGTCTCGAGTTTTTGTGGGCCACCCTCTCCGCTCTGGTCCACCCCATTTGGCCATCATCAGTGTTGTTTAGCAAGCATTTTGGGAATTTACTTTTGTTGCGTTGCAAATTCGCAATCAACATAACAATTATGCGCAAAATGCAGAGGGGGAGCTCAACTTTGCACCATCAACTTGTTTACGGCTGGATTAAACGTATATATATATAAACTTGCAGTTATTTACCCTCAACAGCGTCAGCGCCCCTCGCCATATGGTGTTTTATAGTGCACTCGAATTTAAAGATCAAGCGGCTAATTAGGGTGGCACACATGTTACCCAGCGGAGGAGAGGTCTGAAATAAACCGGAGGTACTCGGTGCGACAGGCCCATCATTGTCTGCCCCACAATCAGATAAGCAGAGCGTAGCACTGCGATTGTCAAAGCGTATTTAATGAGCAGACTCCCGGGTCCCCAAACCACCTAGGCAGCCATGGCCATATATCTCCGCCTGTTCCTGCGAAAATCACAAAATCAGTTGGCAAGAAATCACGGCAGACAGTGGAGCCGGGAGGGGGTCTTATGGGGAGGGGGGCACCGAAACCGCGGCGACAACATCGAAACAACGACAACGACGACATCATGCTGGCACTGTTTGCTAGGGGATTGTGTTTTTTGGGGTGAAATTGTTGGGCGAATGTGTGCTTTAGTGCACTCACAAAAATTGTTTTCTAATAACATAGCAAGCCGTTAAATGCGTTTTATCTTGCAAAATATTTTATAGCTTTATAAGATCTTAAAGCGGTAAGCTGACAAAAAAAAATAATAAATTAAAATAATAATATTGCCTAGTTTTAGTAATAACTAGTTTTAAGGCCAATAAATATTATAATGTTTTGTAACAAATAGCATCTTAATATTTATTTTGTTAAATCGAATGCTAGTACAAATATAACTGATACATTGAAGCATTATTATTTATAAAATTATCCTATATGTCATAAATATTTATTAAGTGTAGAACAATAATTTTTCCAACTGTTAATGCTGTGGAATGACTACAAGCAGCCGGGGAAAAGCTTGTGGCAAATACCGCGATGCGTGTCTGCCTCCGTTTCCCTCGATTGCATTTGTAGGAGGGGAAATCGGTGGTGGGGAAGTGGGAATTTTCCGTGAGGAAACCGACATTGTCTAGGCTGATGTTGGGAATTTTGTTGTTGCCTAGGTAGGATAATGACATCAATATGCTTGACAAGACTCGCAGAAGCCAGAAGCCGGTGACCTTGAACCGAACTTTTTGGGGAACTCTCCAGAGAGACGGAGAATGAGGCACTATGGCAAGCCTCAAGTGCTGATGGAGCAGAGCTCCTTACAGCCGAGAGATGCTTCATTAGCAGTCGTCCTCGATAAGAAATGAAAGTCGTTTGGCTGCTAAAGAGACCCTTCCACCACCTGGTCGAAAAATCTCTAGAGAATTTGACCAAAAAGTGCCACCGAAATGGGAAGGAGCGACCACAGGACTTTTTCATTAGTGCAAGTGCCGCACAGCTGCATGCCACAAACACACACAAAGGCCCGTAAGCACACACAGTCACATAGTCACACATGGCCAACTACCGACACGTTCCGGACATTGCGAAACGTGCCAAAAAGCATTGCATAAGCGCAGGCGGACAACGAAATCAGTTGTGCAAAAAAGGTGGAGGAAAACAAAAAATGAAACGTAAATACGGGCAAGGCGAGGACAATATTTTTGCTGCTCCTCCGATTGCTCCTACTGCTGATTCCTCTTTTTCTCGTGTGAGAAAACAAATCTCAGCCACACATACCGAGATATTTGCACTGAGCGAAAATATTACAACTATTTCAAATCGATTTTAATAAAATTACAAATTGTTATTACTCATTTGTCATTTTTATTTCAAATTAAATTATATTTATTTTTATTCTATTCTATTCTTTTCTATTTTATTTTACGTGTGGTTTTATAAAGTTTGTAAAAATATAACATAATAACACGGCTCTGTATTTTTGCCTAGGTCACTTTACTAAATATTTTATCCAAGCATCTGATGTCATGATCCATTTCATCCCTCTAAAACATATCCTCTAAGTGCAAAACTCTTTGATATAAAATTTATACCATGTTGCGAAATACATTTCAGGCTAGACATTTATATAAATACTTTATTCAGCACTCAATCATCATATCTCAAATCAAATCTAAGCTTTTTCCTCCAGTGCAGTCGTTGGCAATGCGTTTAGCAATCAGCTCACGACTTGGCAGCCAGTCCGAGTTGCAGTGACTGTGCCTCAGAACTTTCGTTGCGCATACGCCACGTTGCACGGCACCCGTCCAACCCGTCCAACCCGATGGGGCGTGTGTTAATAATGCGTGACATAAACTGGAGCTCCCGACAAGTCCCGTCGATGGGACAAACGAATTGAGTTGACTCGACTCGAGTGGGGCATTTTAAGTGACAGTTTGCAGTTTGTGAGTACTCGGAGCTGGAAGACTGAGGAACTGAGCACTGCAGACTTTGTCTGTGACTCTGGCGAGTAAATGACATTGTCATTGTTTTATTGACATGCCGCACACTCACAGAAAGCTCTGAAGAGGCTCCTCTTCTTAACACTTAAATTTTTACTTAAAATATGCAAATAAGTACCTACTGACAAAGTGCCAAAGGCAAGTGCTCCTCTTACCCGAACTTCCACCCTAATGTGTGTGCGAATGTGTGAGAATTTCAATTTCCTGCTCACACCCAATGCCAATCAAAAGAAACCCCGAAACCCGATCGAAGGACGGGTGAATAAATTTTCCGCGAATGAGGAAATTAAACCAAATTGAAATTGTTTCGCGCTCGCACACAAAGTTTCCTTAGCCCTGCCCTTAAAGGCTCCTTACTTTTGGGCTCAACTTGAGCCGGGGGAAAGTTTTAATTTCCAATTGACATTTTGCAAGTGCATCCCTAATCCCGGGCAGCAAAAGAGGGCAAAGGAGGGCTGGAAATAATTACAAACTGCAATTATTAGCCCGGCTAAGGAGAAGCTGCCAAGGCAAATCCAATTAAGTGAAAAGCAAGTGTAAGCCGATGCCGTTTACCTGACCAGCTCACCTGATTCCATGCAGCCCCATTTCCCCCCTGTAGTTAACTGGGTAACTCTAGCTGCTGACCTTAGCCTGTTTTTTTCCCTTCCAGCTTTTCCCAACCCTCTATTGGATTTTACCCACCTCAAGTGTGTCGCTTTTTCTTTGGCTCCTCGGAGGGAAACCCTCCCCTTGCAAAGCATGAAATGAAATTGCCCAGCTACAGGCACAACAATGGCTATAGTAATAATAAATAATAATGGTTAAATGTGTTTACAAAAAGAGAGAAATCTTTTGCTGTTATCTGGGACCAAAGCCTCCTCCTCCTTGCTCTTCACTCTTCACTCTTTACACTTGGACTTGGACTTGGCTTACTTTTGTCTGCTGTGAACTGTCATTGCGTGTTGCACACAAAAACACCCGGAGATTTAGAGCGGAGAAAGGGGAATAGTGGAAATGGAAAGCGGAGAAAGGGGCAAAAAAGCGGGCTCTGTAAAAGAGAATGAGATATTATGTGGCAAGAGTTGCTTCACCAGTTGGCAGTCCTTCTTAATTTTTGATGCGAAAATGCCACTTTAATCTGCTCGAAGTATTTCTGGAAAATATGCGAACATTTTCGTCTCACAATTTTGGTAACGAGTAGCTTCAAATTTAAATGTGACTTTCTTTAGAAATTCTGGATAAAGGATTGTTTATCTGTAAGCATAGAGATATAAATAAATAATTATTCAAGTTTATGGAGAGAACACAAAACAATTTAGTAAAGCTTTGGTACTTTTTTAAATCAAAATTCATAGATATTTAAAAAATTATTATAATTCATAATTTTCAAATTTTTACTTAAAAATAGTAATTTTGTCAAAATAATTAAAACTTTTATATTTATTAAATCTAACCAAAGATGAATTTAGGAAGTATAAATTGGTTTAATATATGAATGCATACTTTCATTAAAATCTTAGTACTTTTGAATGAATTCTGAAGCCACCCTCGTAATCTTCTCCCCCATAATGAAAGTGAAAACTGTTGCAGCAACAGCAAACAATTTCGCAGCCGAGGAGAAAACTATTTCAATTGAGGTAGAAAATGAACGACAAGGACATGGCGGCATTTCCCCAGGTTTTTTCTCTCGTATTTTCATTTTCTTTTTGCCTTTTATGTTTTTTCTTGGTCCTGCCATGAATGGATGCCCACTCCTCTCTATTTCTTTTTGTATGTTTGCAGTTTAAATTGCACTATGAAAGGAATTTTTTGGACTTAAGCATTCGTTTTCATTTGGCTTCTATTTCTTAGTTTCCCTATCTACATTTTTTTTTGCTCGGGATGCCAAGTGGGATAATATGTCAAGTGGCATAAGTCGGGGGAGTGGAGAGCCTGTGCACCTGGCATTGATAGGATCGAAGCAGGTGTCATCCCATTTGGCAACCAGGTCTTAACTTTGCCATTTACGGACGGCTAGATGTGTTTGTGTTGGCCCGGCTTAGCCCCAGTTTCAGTTTGATTCAAGTTGCAGTGGCAGAAACAGCTGTGGCAAGTGGCCCGATTGAGAAACAGTTGTCCCCGATATTGCCGACTGCCCGACTGGCGGCAGTATAAAAGGGGAACCCGGCTGGCAAACGAGCAGTCAAAGACTGAATCAGCAGCATGTCGAAAGTGCTCGCAGTGGCCCTCATCCTCTGTGGAATCCTTCTGGTTGTGTTCGGTCAGGATAACACAACTGCCACACCCACGGACTACTGTCAAAGTGGTTTGTGTTCTGTACTGAAAAAACATATTGCCTGCAGGAACAAAGGAGTAAGTTCTCCTTTTATTTCTGGTCTAAATTCCAGACCTTATTTTATTTTTCCTAGGAGTTCAGCAAGCAGTGTCCTGCTGACGCCCAGTTGGTTAATCTCAGTGGCTTGCACGACCTGATCCTGGATGAGCATAATGCTCTGCGAAATGTCCTGGCTGCTGGCAAAGTCACGAACTTACCGCAACCCGATCGGATGGCCACACTGCAGTGGAACGACGATCTGGCGGATCTGGCCACACTGAATGTGAAGCAGTGTGCCTTGCAGCACGATCCTTGTCACAATACCCCGGATTTCGCCAACTCTGGTCAGAATCTAGCCTTGATCAACATTACCCTGCTTCAAGGAGAGGGAAATCATACAGATGAGTGTCTCATCAAGGAGTCTATTGGTGGCTGGTGGAATCAGAGTGCCAATATCACGAAGGAGCAACTGCAGCGTTTCCCCAAGGGAAAGTTGGGAGAGTGCGTTTGACTTGAGTTGGTTTAAATTCTCTATTTGATATTATGTTTCCCCCAATCAGTTCCATTCGCAATTTCGCCGTTATGGCCCGTGACAACAACACTTTCGTGGGCTGTGCCGCTCTGCGGTTCGAGAAGCCCGCGGGTCATCCTCAATTTTTGATGGCCTGCAACTATGCCAGCAATTATATCCCAGATTGGCCAATCTACCGGGAGAAAGCCATCGGATGTCAGTCGGGCTTCGACAGCAAATATTCAGCGCTCTGCAAGGCTGGAGAGCAATACCAGGAGCTGCCGAGCGAGGAGAGCACCAAGGCGAAGAGTTATTGGAGGCTGTAGGAGTGCCAAAAATAACACCTAGCCGAAAGGGTTGGAGTGGGCGGAGGTGCACTCACAGTCTATTTAACATGTTGATTTGTGTCACAGTGCGTGGCGGTCATATATCATCTCACAGCCGCATTAGCACAGACACCTGAAGAGGCAGTGATGCCAGCATGTGAGAAAAAACGATATGTCGGTATTTAAAAAAATAATAAAATTTGAAAGCGAGAATAGAGAATTCAATGTTTTTTAAATAAATGATTTTATATTTAGTAAATAAATAGTAAATAGATTATTTGAATATGCCTGGAGTCTATAAAATTTTAAAATAATATTTTTATAACATTTTATAATCTTTTTAACTATATATTTTAACTAACCCATCTCAGAGAATAAATTATACCTTAAATATATAAAATGACGTCCTTACACATTTTCAATGTCATTATCCTTAATTTTTAATATCATATTGACATTATCGTCCAAAACTCTATGTTTACACACCCAAAGAAATAGCTTTTAAATGGCTGAAACTACAAGTCAGGCACTCTCACACACATTTTGCCCCACTTTGCCTCCCCCACATCGTCATCATCCTCATCAGCAGCTAAAATATGATACGCGTTGTTTGGGTATGAAGAAAAAAGCGAACGAGACGACGACAAGTTGGCATCTAATTTTAACGTCAATATACAAAATGTAAAAACGTGTCTTCATCAGCTCGTAATATGGACCCCGCCCCATCCCGCCGCCGCCACTCAAATCTCTAAGTGCCTATTAATAATGCTGCCTCGACGAGGGGCTAAAGAGAAAATGTTTTCCTTGGCTCTGCTTTATTTTTAGTGTCCATCCGCGATGAGGCCTACGTTTAATATGCCGTTACTTTGTCAAATCCGAGGCTCATTAAAGTCAGGCGAGAAAAATAGGCAGCATTTTTGTTCATTTTTTCCGTCGCGATAATTAATTTCGTACTAATGCCGGCCACATTCATTATGGCTTAATTAAAATTCAACTGGAATTAGTTTCCAGCACCTCGAAAAGCGACCATTATGAACTTATCAAGCCGAAAATATATAAATATGTATGTCGCTTTATATCTCCATTTTTTGTGCTAATTACGTTTTAGTGCAGTTTCTGTTTTTGTTTTGTTCATTTTGCCGGAATATTAAAATCACTAAAGTGCTGTTTTTGTTGTTGCTTTGGGCCCTCATTAAATGCGTGTAAAACTAACATGGCCAACAACATATTTCACGCGGCTCATAAAAGCATAAATACACGCATAAATAAAATAATGTACATTGTACAAAGTTGCGTCAGTGGTCGGAGTGATATAAATTATTCTTCTACTAGGACAACGATGTGGGTTTTTTTTAGGGTTTGATGGATGTTTTTGCTTTTTATAGGGTGCCATTAATTTGGAACGATTTTTTAAATAAGAATTTTTAAATAATTTAATACCTAATTTCTCAAATACACAATTTTCAAAATAAATATAAAACTATTAATTTATTGTTCTTTCAGATTTAGATGATTAAATGTGGTCGTAAAAAGTTTTTCAGGTCTTAAAGCTCTCCACCTTGTATAATATGGCGTATAAAATATTTATATTCAGTGATTTTGAAATCAAAGCACACAGAATTTCTATGGACTGCTCGTCCCTAAACGCTTCACAAATTTGATTGTTGAAAATGATTTGATGGGCCGGACAAAATGAAAGCGCCAATTTATGGCCTAAAGGAAGACTATGCGTTGCATAAATTGTGGCTGATTTTAAACAAGTTAATATGATATTAGTTGGAGGCGAGCATAAATTATGGAAGCGTGCGTTATTGGGGAAGAGATGGAGATAAACAAAGCTGGCCTGATTTAGTGCTGGCCATTTGACTGTTTAATGAGCACTCAGATGTGTCAACAGGCTGAATGGAAATTTATTTAATTATGATTCATAAGTCACAAAGCGGCTTACAGCCAAACATTCCCATTCTTTTGCACTTTCGACTGTTTGAAGTTGTTCGCCTTGGCATGCAAAGTCTCGGCTCGGACTTTTGGTCTATGGCTCTCGGACATGGAAACATCTAAAAGGCAATCAAAAGTTTGGCCAAAAAGAAAATGGCAGCAACAAGAGCGAAAATATGAAAAATAAAAACAAAATTGACAAAGCAAAACTTTTGATTTATGCAATTTGCGCTAAAAATACAAATCCATTTGATGACACTGGCGTGGGGGAAATAACATTTGGCCAACAATTCCAATAAAATGGCAAAGCAGGCTTTGATTTATTTGTCCTTCGAGCTGGGGGAATTCCCCGAACGCAGCCGCAAATGCTTAGCCGGGGATTTTGAGACATCTCCTTACCCCTTACTGCTTATCCCTCTTTGAGTTCCCAAAATGTCATACATGGAGCATAATAAATGGGCTAGTAAAACTTTGGACAGGAATGGGACTGGGCTTCTTGTGCCCTGTGTCAAGTCAAATGCAAATGACCGACAAATTTGCCAGGCTATATAGCGATATGCAAACGGAACGACGGATATATGCTTTGTTTATGTACATATATGACCGCAGGCCGGGCTGGCCACAAATTTCCACACAATTTATGCGCACAATGTGGAGCGGAAGGAGGGGAGATGGAGACACGGAGGATCCCATTGCCGGATCATTTATTTTATAGTCCGTCGCTTTAAGTTATTTTTCTTCATTATTTTTTATGTGGCTCCAAGGCTGGCGAGGACAACCGAAAACAATTGCCAAAGGCATTTGGCAATCAGCGCCAAATGTTTGCTCTGTTTGCGCAAATAATTTATACGAGCAGAAAAGCAGAACAGCAGACATCACACATACGCCCTGTTGGCCGGCTCAAGTTCATAGACAGGATCTTAACGGCACAGTTCATTAGCGGTCCCTTTGGCCAGGAACTTGGTTTATTAATCCTCCGAGGAGCCAGACAAAGGACAGCAGTTGTCATTAGGGCTCGTCCTGCGATTTCCCTCTCTTTCCGGCATAAACACCAAATTAAGTTTTAGTGTTTCATTTATTTTTGGCACTCTCTTCACATGCGTGTGGGTTATGGGCTTTCGGGCCTATTTGCTTTTATGGCCCCAACTATGAGCCCTGCGGTCTGTGTAGTTTTTGGCCGGCTCCTATTGCCTTTTGATTGTTTGTAATGAGCTCCTCGACCTGCTTATGTGCGGGTCATCAAGGATATGAATAAAACAGCGATCGAAACAACCCGATAAAGGTTGTGCAAATGTTAAGTGAGTTCATTTGATCCACTTATAATGATAGGATTACCCATTAAGTTGCTTTTGCTGACCTGTACACTCAGAAAAAAAATCGCCCTAAATTTTAGAAAATCGCCATACTTTGAAAATCGCCTTGAAATTCAGAAAATATTTCTATTTTTCAGAAATATTTTTCTAAATAATAAGAAAAACTTACCCTGATTAGATCAACTCCTCTTGTTATCCACTTTTAGAAAAATTTTCTGTTATTCAGAAATTTTTCTTTCAAACTAAGAAAAATCGCCTTACATTTTAGAAAATTGGCCTAATCGGTAGCCGAGGGGTCTAATGCGAGCGGATTATTTGTTTTCTACGCTTATATTCGGAAGCGTGTGTTCGATCCCACGTCGAGGCGGACATTTTTTGCGTCTTTTTTTTTTTTTTTTTGCGCATTAAAATGTATACTTTAATACAAATAAGGATTTAGGTAAGCTAACACACACATAATGGATAAATAAGAGTATAAACCTAGAACCCAAGAGAACAGAATGAGAATGTACTTTGTACAGCGCCTCTCGTGATGCTTCCCTGGCGCAGCTAGTAGAGTGTTTGACTGCAAACTGTGAGGTAAGGGGTTCGAATCCCGCGAGCGACCAAAATGTTTTCCTCAAGATAGTAAGTTATTTGATTTTTATGTTTATCATTAATAAATAATATAATAATTTCAGTTATTATTTCAGTTACAATTAAAGATTAAAAGTGTGTTTGTGTACAAGCATCGTGACGTCATCCATGTGTTTAAATAGAGGAGAGAAAAATAAGTTGAAAAACGAGAACCCCAACAACAACACCCCACACCGACAGACTCCACCCAGTCGGCATAACTCCCGATTCCCCGATTTTTTTCTTCTTCTTATTCAATTTTGCAAAAACTAACCCTAAATTTAAGAAATTTTTTTTCTAATTTTTAGAAATATTTTTTCTAAAAGGCAAGGCGAGCTGCCTTTGGCTTAAAAAGTATGGCGATTTTCTAAAATTCAGGGCGATTTTTTTTCTGAGTGTAGGTACACTATTTGTTGCTAAATATTAAAGCATATTATTTTCTCTTTTCAAATTTTTTGCATTACCACCAATCCCCTTAGTCGCCTTTTAATATTTTTTATTGCCGTTTAATTTATAAAAATTCTATTCTGGCATTTCGATTAATTCCTGATTTAATTGATTCGTTTGAAATGTGATTCCAGCTGATTTAATTTATTTGCCAATTTCATTGGCTGTTTATTCAGCTCATTTGAGCATGCAATTTGCTTCGATTTTGCAGCCATTTTAACGGCAGGTGGATCAATATTATTTTCTTTCTTTAGAGTAACTAACCAGTTTTTTTCAATTCTAAACCAGTGATCAAACATGAGCAGAGGTCACTTTTAATTTTGTTGCACTTGCAGTGGCCAATTGTGCGGCAAACATAATTCAATTAACGCCTGGCCATTGGATGCCATGGCACACAGACACAGGCACCCAAATAGATAGAGACAGATATGGGCAAAAAGAAAGAGAGCGCTGCCGAATGGCCGGAAAGTGGCGCTTTACAATTTGTGCAATTTCCGCCTCTGAACAACATCAAACAGAAAATCTCCACTCCACTCCCGAAAAATGGAAAAAATATAAAAACTTTGCCCTCGTTTGATGTGTGAATTGCGCAAATATTTCTGTTAAAAAAATACTCCCTCCTCCTCCTTCTCGTCCGCTGAACATTTATCTTGCTTTCGCATTCGTTTTGGAGATTTTTTCGCAGAACTTGCTAAATGGAAAACAAACAAAGAATGTTTTCACATAATGCGATTAGTGGCCTCGGCTTCGGTCGCCATCGAAATTTATTTGCCGCTTATGCAGGCCGCTTGAAGTTTAATTGAAAGCGTAACCATATTTGCCATAACAATATTAATTGACAGTTGATGTTGCGTGTCAGGCAAATATTTCATTTTCCCATTCGATTCATGGCCATTTAATGGAGATGTCCTCCTGACGATTCTCCTCCGAATCTAATTAG